GGCGCTTGCCTTCCGGCCCGCCGCGACCACCTTCTTGGGCCTTGTGTGTCGTAGAGTCCTCGACGGGGTCCTGGACCAGGTCCTAGATCAGGTCCCGGACGAGGTCCTAGCCCTCCAAGAACATGTGCCGCTAAGTGCGCGTGGCGTTTCGGCGTGTCGTCTCCACTGAGATGCTTTGCTCCGCACCGCAGCGACACCGCAAAGTGAAGCGAGGAGAAGGGTCGCATTGATTGGGGTTTGTGTTGGACTGATGGCGTGCGGTGCGTGGCCTGTGAGGTGGCCTGCCCGTAAAGCCTCCCCGTCAGCCCGTCAGGTGACTCACGACGCGCTCGCCACCGTGCCGCTGACTACCCCATTTCCCATCCCTAGTGCCATGCATATCACCAAGCCAACTATACGCGCCGCACCCCCCCACACCTTTGTAAAAAGTTTTCTTAGTTTTACGAAAAAATATTACGAAATTCGTAATATAACGATGTACCGTATAATTGGCGAATAAACGAAGTTTTACTTATAGAAAATTAATCGAGAAAATTTTGTAAAATCACGTTAATTTTCTTCCTCATTTTTGGTCACTATCTATGTATCGTTTATTACTCCCGCTCCCGCACTTTTTATTTGGACCCCATATCGTCTCATGACGTGGCATTCAGACATTAAAGGACGACAAGTGTTTTGAGGTGATTATTTTCTCGTGTACCGCGGTTCGCGTTGGGCTTGTTGCGCGGGTTGCACATCCGGCAGGACGGACGTTCGTGTCCGGGGGGAAGGGGCGTAGGGTAGTGACCCTTGTAGCTGTCCTCACTCCTCTCCCCGCGGGAGACGATAGTGGGGGGGGGGGGCAATGGGACGGTGGCAGGCGGCTCCCCCTCGTCTTCCTGGTGGCTGTCGCTCGTTTCTGTCCTGGAATAAATTCGATTCCCTTTTCCAATTGAACTTCCCGCCCACTCCCCTCCCGCTCACCGCTCACCTGCCGGCAGGAGCGAGAGCGGAGGCGGAAGCAGTGCTGCTGCTGTGGGGCGGGCGCATGACTGCGCAGGCTCGCGGGGCATGCATGCACATAGCAGCAGTAGCAGCGGATGCGAAAGAGGAATCAAGCAGCATCAAGGCTTCGTGAGACTGGACTGCATCGCCTCTTCCACAAGGGTCGTGGTCTGCTGGCTGGGCGTGATCTTTGTTATGCCTGAAGGGATGATCCGGAAGGCTAGAACTATAGCAGAAAGTGGGTCCGTCATCTGCCATGACAACACTGCCAAGTTCAGTCTCTGCAAGGGCTTGAAGCGCCTGGTAGGTAGGCAACATCTTGCGTGCAGTGCGTGCGAGTACCGCGGGGTGGCCTACCCCGAGTCTCACAGGCGCTGAGCCAGTACTTTTGCCGAATAATTTTGAGAAAGACGAACGTACTTTCTGGACGATCCCTAATCTCTGATCGGGTCGGGAGCTGAGGAAAGGCCAGGTGGGAGGCGGGCTTGCGTCAGCGACACTTTGCGCGAGAGTCTCTCCAGAGGGCTGGCACCTGGCACACTCCTCTCGCGAACCTTTGAATGTGCTCGTTCGTTACATTTTCAGTGTCTAGGCCTCTGGCTGACCTGGGTCTTGACGGTCAGACGGATGGCCGATGGAGGCGTGCGCTGCCGCTGCGCCCTCGCGCTCCCGGCCCCGACATGGCCGGCCTGCACACTTTGCATACAAAATTGTGTCTGTCTTTATCCACTCGCTATGCCTTCGTCGCTTGTCAGTCAGAGTGGTGGGGCGGGCGGAGAGGTGAGGAGTACTCTGTGAGGTGTTTGCGTTGTTGTTTTCATTTTAAAGTCTGTGAAGAGAGACTAACGAGAAATGTGAAAACCTTAATGCGACGTGTGTGCGAGGTGTTGCCGGCGCGCGTGGTGTGACTCAGAGTGCCTTTGCGGCCGAGTGCGCGGCACCACGTAGCCGGGGCCTGGCGGGGGGCGGGCGGGGGCGGGCCTACTACACAGCCCCGGCCCGGCGGCAGGACGAATCGTGTTAGATGAGCCAATTTCGCCGCCCAGCCCGCCGGGCTACCGCCTCGCCACCACAGCCGCCGCTCCGCTGCGCCGCGCCGCCTCTGTGAAAGGCTGCTCTGTCGGTAGCGCCTGGCCCATGGCCTGGCCGTGCCGCGCGCCCACCGCGGAGCCTGACTGTGGCCCGGGCCCAAGCTCGCGAGCACACTGCCAAGGGCGGCCGACGCGGCCAGACAGAACTGTCGGCAGGCGCGTATTAAGCACCCCCCACCCCCACCCCCAAGCCGCCTGGAGGGTAGGCAATTAGCTCTACTGAACCCCTGTATGGAGGAAACCGCGGCGCAAGGACCACCTACCCCGGCCAAAGATCCTCGTTAATTAAAAACGTTTGTTGTAATTTATATGTTGTAAATCAGCCCATTCTTGCTTGGCAATTAATTCCAAATCGATACAAAGTGCTTGCAAAGTGCTTGCAAAGTGCTTGTAAAACAACTTCGAATTGTTATTCTACGACCCATCATGGAAAATATTCCGCCAGAGAGATGCTGCAGCGGTTGATCGATCAACCTGCGCAGATAACGTGCCATATGCACCTATCCACTTCCCTTATCCTAAGACGGCGGCGGCAGTACGTCGTCCCGCCTTCTGTCGACTCATGTCGTGCCGATTTGGATCTTAATGACGAATTGATGAGACTGTGTATATAAAGACGGTCGCGGTCCGCTACGGCTGACGAGTCACTTCGACCGTGGCGAGCTCGTCCAGCAAGATAGTTTTGGTCTCTGCGCAGACGAGCTCCAAGATATTAACCGCACGTAATACACTCACTCCGGTTATCACTGTTGTCACTTGTATCGCTCGTATCGCTCATCTTGCGCCATTCACTGTCTTTGAGCGCGCACCCACTGATTCAGCATCGCGGTGTCCCGGGGTGGGTGGGGCGGGCGGGGGCGGGGCCGGCGACCGGCGTCGGCCAGCCCTGGCTGCGTCACCGTCACTGAGTCACTCGTTCGTAGGACTCCGGACGCCTCTTCCGCAGCTCATACGGAATTTCTGCAAAAAATAAAAGAGTTGTTTCAGCTTTCATCCGGCTCCTCACTCTCTCTGCGCACTGCATACCTGCGATCTTCGTCAGAAAGCGGGCTAGACGTTTGCGTAAGTCGAGCTGACCGTTTCCTTCTGTCCTGTTGCAGGTTGTGCTCGCTCACGCTGTCCAGGCTGGTGCTGCTCAAGCCCATGGGGCCCGACCTGACGTCCGTCAGCATCGCGGTCAAGATGCAGGGCTTGAAGCGAACGCTGCGCTCCAACGAGCTGGTGCTGCCCGCGCGTGGGCTGCTGGACACGGAGCTGCAGCTGCACTTCTCGCTGCAGTACCCGCACCTGCTGAAGCGCGGCGGCAACCAGCTGCACGTGAGCCTGCAGCGCCGCAAGCGCTACAAGAACCGCACCATCCTCGGCTACAAGACCCTGGCCGAGGGGGTGGTCAACATGTCACAGGCCAGTCACATCACACGTCTGCCAACATTTTTATCAGAAGTTAGGTCGGAAGGTCTAACTTGTTATGTTGTGTTGCTGCAGGTGCTTCAACGGCAGTTGGATTTGGAGCTCGAATTGTGTGGTGACGTCAAGGAGCCAAAAAGTCATGGCAATGTGGTTGCTCGAGTCTCCGTCCAGGGATTGAATTCACAGCCCGTTGACCATGAGGATACCGCAAAATTGAACCCCCATGACGTCTCTGGTGGGTCAAATTTTAATGTGTTAATGTGTGAGATATTGTAATTCATTTGTGGGAATTATATTTTATGTTCTTCAATTTGTTCTTCTCACAGATCGAGTTGGAGATTACTCAGATGAAGATGAAGAATTTAGCTCGAATGAAGATGGAGTAGAGGAAGCTGAAGGCTCCGATTCAGAACCAATGCTAGAAGAAAATGTTGGAAGAAGAGCATTGCAAAGGCAGAGGCAAAGGCAGGCAGCCAGAGCTGGTGCCATTCCTACAAATGCTAGGGTATGTCAGTTTTTTAAAAATTCTCATTTTATTCCAACCTCATTCTGCTAGATTGTCATAAATCTAAGAACCGTCTTCCATTCTATTTTTTTCTCTATTCCAGCAACGTAATTTGAAGCAAAAGTTTATCGCCCTCCTGAAACGGTTCCGAGCAACGGAGGATCTTCAAGGATTGGATCATGATCAAGAGGAGCTAGCAATGTCCCACAAGTTAACAGGTGAAGCATGTCAGACATTTGGACATCAGTCTACTCATCCAGTGGATTGTGTTTGTGTTGCGTGTGTGAACACTAATATTAATGCTTATGGAGTATTGTCAACCCCACCTCTGAGCCCTAAACATCATTTGGAACGAGGGCATTCCTTTAATTCTCACTTTCATAACCAAAACATTAAAAAAATGGAATCATCTATGAATGATTTTAGTCTGCAGTCACGAACTGTGCTTGTAAGGCATTCAAGTTTCAAAGATCAATTTTCACAGTGGCGACAGTCACGGTTGAAAGCTCTATCCAGTGTGCACCAAAATAGTGATAATGGAGATGAGCCATAAGTAGCTGATAACAGCAGTGATTTCTCAAACACACAGTGTTCCTATTTTTGTCATTACCTTAGATTTCTTCAGTAGGAGTCAAACCAATTTATTTATGTAAAGACTAGAATTCTCTTAATGTATAGTATTCATCTTTTCTGAGACGCTTATTAAATATTTTTCCTGATGAACTTGTCTGTGAGTAACAAGATTTTCTCAAGTGCTGTATCATTTTGCATGAACTGTAAATCTATAAGAGTTTTGATTATGAAGACTGCTCTAAAAGGTAAGACAGGAATTACTCTTCTCGATGCCCATTCTAGTTCCATCCTTTGCACACAGTATTTGAATTTGAAATGTATTGTTTGTCTTATCTTGTGTTCAGTTTTTTTTTTTTTTTCAAGCAAAGCTGGAATGGTCCTTAAATTGACTTGTTGCTTAGAACTGTACCTGAGCATTGCATAGTGTCCTCTGCTATGAGCCTTCCAACTTAGATACACTAGTGACACTTCATTTAAATTGACTTTATTACTGTATTCTCCCAGGTGTCACTGTGATTCCTTAGGCTATAAATAAGTTATAAGAGTAAAACCTTCCTGAACCAACCTGACTAATGAACTCCTCTGACCATTTTTGTGTTTTTATAGCTGGTGGGATGGACGCTACTGAATTTGAGGACCTCATGGAGGAACTTGGAGAACTATCAGGCTCTGACTCTGGACCAGAGGTGGACACCCTGAGCATGTCTTCCACTCCAAAACCATCATTACGTCCGTTTTTCTCAAGCAGCCGATCCCTCGTCCATGATACTCTAAACGTCCCAGGAGCAGGTGAGTTACTACTATCCATAGACCAATGCCTTCCTGGAAACCAGTAGAATCGGCGATCAATTTTACTCTACGTATGTACTTTCAGTGGAATTGGGATCTTATTGTGTACTCTAAAACAGCTTATTGTGACCCTCCGATGTATTTGTCTTATAGTTCTTTTTTTTCTATTTTTTTCTTTGGTTTTGGTCTGTGAAGACATTTGTGCTTGTGTATGCTTGCTTCAGTGTGTGATGAAAGAAAGAGGAGGCTCACGAAAGTTCTTATTTACCATTCTCTGTTACTACTTAAATAATTGACTAATTGTCTCTGAAAATGCTGATAAAACTGGAAAATCATGTGCATTTAAAAATTTTGAAAGTGCTCAGGGCTTTCCAGTTGTTGGGTATGGTGGGCATGAAGCAGCTTGACATTACATGTACCATGATGTGGAGAACTCCTGGAAATCAGTTTTTGGTTTCGCTTTAGGTATAATTTTTTTCAGAATTTAAACATAGATTTTAGTCTTGGTAGTGTGCATAACACTATAGTGTTAACGTGCCACACAAGGGTTAGCATGGTTTTGCTCTGTGTCGTCTTCTTTCAGTTAGTAATACAGTATTAATTTTCTATCTGCAAAACCCGACTACTCCTTTCGTATCCTGATCTTACCCATAGTAGCTGGGGCCAAAACTTTACTCCCCACATTAACTCTCTTTTGTAATACTATGTTTGAGTGAGACAGCTACTTCATGCTCTTTTTGAATACCAGTACCTTTATAATCAGAACTCTAAATTTTTCCTTCTTGTGATCACAATTTCACTGGGGTCATTTCACATTTCTGAACTCAAATTCTGAGTACTGATTTCTTCTGTCATTATGTCAGGTTGACATCAAAATTAATTTACTGTTGATACATTTAGAGATCAGTGCATGATATCTGTGTGCAGGCTTGACTGAACCGCCGACCTCTGCCTCCCCTCAACCTCAGAAAACAATCTTTGAACGCAAAAAGTGGTCTATCAGCTCAGATTCAAGTACTGTCAAGAGGTCTCCCAGAAAGGCGGAAGAAACTGAACAGAATTTGCTCTCCTTTGATGAGTGATCAATCTAGAAGTTTTCACTACAGCCTGCCTTTCTACTTCTTTCATTTAAAATTGTTATAGAGTCATACTTGAGTTTGTTTCTCAGAACATTTTTGTTTGTTTTTGGTACCTTGCCTCTATCTTATAGACTTTCTATAGATCTATAGATTTTTTTATGAAGTATTTATTTCTCTTCAGGTTCTGCAATAGAACAGTTTCTTTTTTAATATTACTAGGAATATGCCAATTACTTCAGCTCTGGCCATCAAATATAATTTAAAGGGGCAACTTTATAGATCTTAAAATAAAAACAATTTTATGCATGTGGGTACTCTTCTTCAACTATCCCCTGCAATATGTTTCTTCTTTCTTCTTTCCTTAATCTAATAATGTGATTAACTGTGCAATGCTTTAGCTTATTTGATGTCATTTCCAAGTAATGGAAAATATGATAGTGTAAACCACTTTTTTGGGTGTGAGCATATTTAAAGTTTAATGGGGTAATCTTTGATATTTAGTGTTGTCACATATTAAAAAGAAGACTTAAATTTTAAAAGACTGATTTCAGCAGCATATTTTTTGCTGCAAACTCAAATGCATCTTTTTGGTAGGGCTGTCTCTGGTCAACATACATTGGAGCAGATATGCAGAAGGGGGTACTAGAATTGCGTAATGCAACGATCAGTAGCATTTCTCAACTAACCTCCTGTTGATGCGTTCTCCACGCTTTCACGCATTTTAAAAGCTAAAATCAAAGGAGTTATTTGTTAGTTTTACCCAAAAAATTAGTGTTCTGAGGAAATTATATCAATTTTGTCGAGCGGGAAGTGTATTTGTGCATGTGTTTGCTTAGCTCTAAAGCAAGCATGTTGGTTTGCTTATTGCTCCTTATTGTGACTTCATAAATCTCATTCAATTTGGTTCAAAGGATAGTGAGTTTGCAAAATTTTGTGAAACTTTTATGTTCTATTCTTGAACATCATTTCAGCTCACTTGTGAGTGTATTCTTTTTTGATGGTGTGCTACTGTGTCAGTATTAATGCATTTACATTGATCTCACTTCTTAGGTACCTATATGAATTAACATAACAAGCAGTTTTAATTTGTTGTATTTACGCATACAGTTAAGGGCAATTATATTATGTTTTTTAAAATGCTTCTCTTTTAAATTACTGCAGTGTTGTTTCTAGATATTACTTTGTAAAACTAAATTCTTTAGCTTGACAAAAACCTAGTCATATTCATAATCACGTTATGGAGACAATGTACTTATGTGTACTTTCATAAATGGCACTGTGTAAAATTAATTCATGTCTTTTTATTATGTATACTAGTTTTAACCATTTAAAATAAATAACTATCGTGGACAGTCATATTTTATTGGTTCATTGTTCTATCACTCTTTACATGTTTGTCTTGTTGCTAAGAGATTGTTTATTGACATTTGGCGTACTGTATTACAGTTGCACTAAAACAACACATCCCAGTCCACTGGAAAGTTGTGTTTCATGTAATCCAAAAGACCATGATTTTCATAAAAATTACCAATGGACAAAACCTATAAAGAAAGTAGTCATGCTTTACTCATTCTCCATGCTTTTACCAACCTATTGTGTTTTTCCAGTAATAATTAATATCAAGAAACAAGTTTGGGCGGAGAATAGTTACAAGTTATAAGTCCTGTGGTTTGTTGTAGTTTGTCAGTGTAACAAAAACTAGCGTGATTGTTGATAGATTGTGTGCACGCTGGCAGTAATGCTGCTTTATGCTGTGCATATGCAGGCTCAGGCGCCGCTGCAGTAGAACGTCAGCCCAAACAGGTTGTACCAACAGGAAGCTCTACAACGTCGGGTGTCCAGGGCCCTTCTGCTGTGCCAGTGGTTGCGGTGGCCACTACGCTTATGCCTACCTCAGTTTTAGGCCAAGGCCCAGGTGCGTCGCCTCGCGTTGGCACTTAAACTTGCAGATCCTCCCTCCATCAAGTTGATTCTTGTTTCTTTGTCTTCTCTGTCACTGCTCTCTTCCTCTCACCTATCTGTCCTCTGCAATTTTATGTACCAGTTCAATACTTTGCTCACTTTTTCTTTCCGTTCCAATTCTAGTGTGTTCCCTCTTACATTCTTCTAGGCTTGTGAGTTTTATGTGCTCCCTCTTGTTATCTTCATACAATTCCTTTATTTTTGTTACTCAATTTCTTGAAAACAAATAACGTTTCTGTATCTTAATCCTATTTCAGTGATTTCCCTTCTGAACAGCATCTTAATTTTTTTCCTCATATTCTATTGGGTATTTTTCTTCGCATGCGCTCCCGTCCTCCCTTTGACTGTAAGGTGCCATGGCTCCTGCAGCCCTAGCGAGTTTGCATGCAATCCGGCCATACTAGAGTACATGCAAAGAAACACCCGGCCCGGTACGCACTGGCAAGAGCTGTCCATATACCAACTAGAACACATTTAACACTTACTTAACCAATTCCCTGATATGAACACTCATTACCCCCACCCAGTATATTTCTAATACCTTTATGATCTACTTGATCACTTCAACACCCATTTAAAATACGTTGATGTGATGAAGTTATAGGGCATTTTCAATGTGAGCAATGTAAGAGGCAATGACTTTCTATATCAGATACTTCAAAATTGCAATCTTTCGAAAAGTACAGTTCAAGCCTTGATTCAGTTCAGGGCATGAAAACTTAACATGTTGGGGTATTTTAGGTGCCCATAGCTCATAGATAGTTAGGGTTAAAAGAAAGCTTTGAATAGTTTGAATTCAATTGAAAATTAAATTAAAAATTTGAGTCATCCTTTTTATAATTTTTTTACTCCAGCCATTTACAAGCTATAGGCACCTAAAATTCTCATAATGTTAAATTTTCATGCGCTTGTTCAGTCTGATTTTTAAGATTATTTTGATTTTTGTTGTTCTGAATAAATAGACTTAAACTTACAACATATTCATTGATGGACAGCCCTTTAGGAGGAAACCCCACATCAGTTGTCGGTGTCTTAAAAATCTGAGTGCCCCCCTTTTACTAAGACTATGGGAAAGCTACTGCAAAATATTTGCTTGCTTTGCTTTGACTGTCTATTTGCGTCCTGCATGCTTTAGCAATTAGTTAATCGTTTTCATAGCCTTATTATAAAATTTTATAGGAACTACAGAAACTGATTTCATCAAGCACTACCTCTTTGCCTATGAATATTTTGCCAAGATTATTTAGTCACAAATTTCATACTTTAGTCAGTATACTTATTACCTAATGAAATTTTTGTTTGCAGGCTTTCTTTTATGTGAAGAGCACTTAGTCTTTTGGTTTTGCTTGCTAGTTTTATCAAAGACATTTTTCTTCTCACCTTTCTATTTTCTATAAATGTTTTACATTCAAATTTTACCAATTTAAAAGAAAAAATTTAATACATATTTTCTGTTGATTTTAAGAATCTTTACGATTACAACTATTTAACATCCTTTCAATAAATCAAATTAAATAGTGCACGTTTCATCCATAGTTCTTTTTTTTTCCCCCACACATCTTTTGAGAAAGTTAACTTTGGAAAGTGAAAATATTTACCCTATTCTGTGCAGATAAAACTGGAGATCGCTTGAGTGATGAGAGTTCTAAAAAGGCAGACTCTGACTCTCATCCTGAAAACTGGACTGATCACGAAGCAAGCGACCCACCTGCATCATCGCCTCCAAAACAGGTGAGGCAAGAAATAGCTTTTGCAATTCCTTCAAAATTGGACTTTCAATGTAAGGTAGCATATCAATTTTTCTCTTATTTCCTAGGATGGAGAGCGTGACAGAGATCGTAAAAGCAAGTTATTTACAAGGGATCGCAACTCCAACGCACCTAAGGCTAAAAAACAACTTAGTGTTGTAAGTTTTGGGGAACAACAATCAAGGACAAGTAATGGTGCTCACAGTGGGGAAACAACTCCTAGTGAGGTTGGTGACTCATTTTCATGAAATTATTTTAAAACTCTGAGTAAATAGTATTTACTATACATGATTTTAATTTTTTTTCTCGTTTCTCTCTCTGATTTTTTTTAATAGCCTCGTAAAATAGTGTTAGAGCAGTTATCAAAAGTTTTGCCAGCTGATGACATTCCTCCAGATCATCTGATTCTTGTCAATGTGTCAGATATTGGTGGCATGGCTATTGCCAATCGCCTATCAGATTGGCAAAATAAGGTTGTTGCTACAGCTGGAATGGGAGACGTGAGAGCTGCTGTTAACTGTCTCATTGGTAAAATTCAGAAATTGTGAGTACTTGCAGATTCTTTGTAAAATGCAAATCTACCATAACAATTTGTAAAATGTATCTAAGGATTATCCCATTGCTTTTCTTTTTCATATAGCTGTAACTCAAGTGCCAAAGCTCCAACACCCATGAGAGTTTTGTTAATTGGAGGAGACCCTTTTGTGCACTCTGTTTTAAGGTGTTATGTAGAACAACTTTCCATTAAGCCGCCAGATTGGCAAAATTATCTACGATTTCTTTTTGTACCTCTGGGTAAGATAAATGAGTGTTTTAAACTGCTTATATGTTTTTAGTTGACAAGCATAACATACGTTGAGATTTTAAATTGTCTGCCTCAGGTGGTAGCTGGCTTGGTCGGTATTTGTGTTCTCTAGATGCAAACTATGCATTAGCATTTGGGGGTGATGCATGGCGAGAGGTTGTGGAAAGGGCAGAGAGAGGTGAATTATGTAAAGCGGATTGGCAAGAGGTGGTGGGACGCATTTGTCGCTACTTACACAACACCTCAGGAGCCTTATTGCATCTCCCAGTGGCTGAGGCAATGCTGACCTATAAGGAAAAAAGGTTTGTCAGAATTGATTTTGCAAAAGACTAGTACACCTAATTCAAACTATATTTTCTATGTTGAAGTGCCTAAATAATTTCAACTACATCTCACCTTTCTCTTTTTATAGTTCTGATGAAGAATCTTCTCAAATATTCATTCCTTTCATGAATGTAAGCATTCTCATTTGGTTTAAATTCACAATAAAATAATTTCTCCCACGTAATAAAATTTGCAATATTTTATCCTACAGGAGGTACGACTTGGCTCTCAAGAATCAGCTTTATCTGCATCTGTTGACCTTGAGGAAAATGCTTCTTCTGTGATATCTGGCTCTCCACCGTCACATTCTCAAATTGGACTAGTTGGATCCCCGGCAGGTCCTGTAAACCAACAGATTTCTGTTTTACCAAGCGATAGGAAAGGGGAACGTATAACACCTCCTTCCTCTCCTAATATTAACACTGTATACGTAGGACCTACTCGGTATGCATTAGTTCAGTTAATGCTGTTTCATCTCTGCCATGGCTTTGTTATTTTGTTTTGTTTTTTCAATTTTTATCTCTTTTACTGCAGTGATAGTCCACAATCTGAACCAATGGAGTTGCAGTTAGATTATTGGCTGTGTAGACCTGCTGACACACCCCAGGGATCAGCTGGCAAAGCAGCCAAGCCTGATTCTGCTAAGTCAACCTTAAAAATGGCATTTCGTTCATTACAAGTTGCCAGGGCTCCGCCCACTGGCGAATTCCCTCCTTCTTTTACTCCCCAACAAATTCAGCTGCAGCAACAGTGGCTTCAGCAACAGTATTTGTTTTTGAGTTATTGCACCAAAGAAAAGAAGCAGAAAAGTAAGATTTGTGTGTTTATTTCTTGTACTGTTCTCGGAGTACTGTATGTTGTCTCTAGTTAATTGTTTCTCTTCTGTTCAGTAATGCGCTTAGGAAAGAAGAAAGAAAAAGAGCGAGAAAGCGAAACTGGTAAAAGCCAATCAGTTGATGGTGTCTCAAGACTTATTTGCTCTCCCAAAATTCACAACATTCCACTAAGAGGTAAATGTTTCCTGATAGTTCTAAACAATTTAAGCCTCACTTAGACTTGCTCTAAACTAACACTTCTCGAATTCCTAGTGAGCATCGATGGAACAGAATGGTCAGGTGTTAAGTTTTTCCAACTGTCTGCACAATGGCCAACACACATCAAGCACTTCCCTGTGACACTTTTGGGATCAGCATCATCTCCAATTGAAGTTTGCTAGCTGTGCCAATGAAAATTACTAAAATTTTATTTTATTGTTTCTTTTTCTTTTAAGATTGTACTGTTTACAATTGCTGATATTATTTTATAATATTTTACTTTTTGTTCTAAGCTACATTACTCTTGACAGGCACAAGCCTGATCTCCTAGTCACCCCCATTCATATCACCAATAGTGTATGTTCTTTATTGTATTAAAATTGAAATATTTTATCATTACATTTAGTAATTCTATAGAAACATATTGAATATGTCATGGATTAAGTACTTTGTGTTTAGTATACTTTCTAGGACTTAGCACTTAATTGTGCGTTTTCTGTTGGCTGTGTATTGCTTAGGAATGTCCTAGGTATGTGTTTGTTGGAGGTCTGATTTGTAAGATTATTTCATATTTATAATGTTTTTATTTATTAACTGAAATTTAGACTGCAAAATGGACCTGAACCGTAGTTCTGTTTTATTACTAGATAACTGGATATTATGCAAAAAAGTTAATTCCAAGCAGGAAAGGGAAAGAGAAACAAAGGGTGAATCATATTATATTTCTAGTGAAAAAAAAAAAAGTCTTCTTGTCTGTTTCCATGATTTTTTTTTTGTTCTCCTTCTGAATCGCTCTGAAGTTACAAAGCCACTGAATACTCAATTACAACTTTTCAAATAGTGTGTTGAAAGCCATATTATAGTAGTGATACATTATCCTTAGAGCTAAGTCACTCAAAGAAATGCTTGTGAATGAATGGATTATTGGATGACTATGGTTACAACAGTTGTCCAGAATTTGAACTTTTTCTTGCCCTTTGTTGACTGCTCATTTTAATTTTATACCTAGATGGTGAAGCGCACAGTCCTAGTCATATCATGTCCTGGCAATAATACTTGCTGTTGACTGATCATGTGCAGCTTTGTAATACTTTGGCATTGGAATTTTTGTTTAGTTAAATACTGCACTTACAGTACTTACCCTACCTAATAGAAACAATAGCATTTATGTTATGTCCTGTCCCTTTTTACCAAAGATAATTTGAATAAAAGCAGAGAGTGCAGGTGCTACACTGTGAATTTGTGCTCAAATCAGTTAATTTCAGTTTTGTTTTTTTTTAAACACCTGTTGAATTTTGGATTTTATAGAAGCAGGTTTTCTAAAGAGAAATTGTGACAATACAGAATGAGTTCATTCTAATGGTAGTTGAGATTTTAACGCATGCTTTTAGTTACCAGTAGATGCATTTAGGGCTTAAAATGAGATTACTTACAATTTATTATTGTTCACATTGAATACAGAATAGAATGAATTCATATGCTCTTTAGGCTTGCTATGGAAAGGCTGTGCTGGTTATGCTTTCATGAATCGGGCTGACATCTTGAAAGAATCAAACCACACATGGAAAGAAACCCTCTTTGATTAGCCGTTAAGTGTTGAATAATAGACAATAAACCAGAGAACAAGTTGGCTTAAACATTTCAATTCTTTTTCTCAGTGACCCTCTGGCTTGCGATCCTGAAGTATTTCTTATCTCATTCAGCGCTTCCTTTATCTTGAGAAAAACTAATGTTTCACCTTTCTGCAGCTTTCTTCATTAATTATTTCTTTGTACAATGAACTGCAATGCTGCAATGTTAACCAAAACTTTAGTCTGTAAGTGCTTCTAGTCGAGTATGAACTCATCAAAAGAACTACTGTCAATCTTTTGAAGAATGTTTCCAGGAGACCGATTTTGAGTCGTAGCTCAATGCCTTAGTCATGATCATTTAAGCAAGGTGTATGCATCTTTCCATAACTAATGGGCCTTAGAAAACTGTGTTGTGACCACTTTCCGAATATTATTTTGAAATTTGAAATTCTACTCTGCCATCTTGAGAGCTGTTATTCTTTGTGTGTTGTCTCTCAAAATTCCATTTGGATAAATGAGGGAGGAAATTTCTGGTAATCGTTTTATTCTTCTATTATTTCATCTCAAACAAAACTTGAAAATTTCTTATCCTTCAATGAGTGTCTTCTATTGATCTTAACACTGTTTTCTGCCCACGTGTCTCTCTCTACAGTTTTGGCTGATGATTCTTGCATTCTATCACTTTTCTTTGATTTAAGCCGACGTCACTGGAAATGAACTAGAACCATAATTTAGAAACGCACAAGATGATGGATTGGTGTTTTAAAAGACTGGCATTAAGTGGCCAAATGAATAGTTCTCTATGATGTTAATAACTTTAGAGAAGAATCTCTGGAAGCTTAAAGCATTCATTGTGTGTGATTTTGTTGCAAGCTTTACAAGTTTAAGAACTGATATTACTAGACAAGTTAGTGTATTCAAAATGCTTCTAGTGAAAGGTGTTAAATTCACTTTTCAAACCCACAATAAGCTGCCATGAGTAGAAAATAAAATAGTTTGTATACTCTTTACGAGTTATGTTCTTTGCTCAGACTTTTCATCCACTATATTTGAGGTCTGCCAGAATTTCATAATGAAAACTATCCATGAATAAAACAAAATTACTTATTGAATTGTTTTTTGAATTCATCCTTTCCCTTGCTAAAAATGACGGTACACTTAGAGGAGACGGCTCCGATTGTCCGAAGCTCGCTTGTCCGAACCTAATTTATCTATTTTAGTAAATAAAATGAGTAAAGTAGTTAATTACATTATGTTATTTCATTTAGTGACAGTTGTTGAAATAAGAGCTAAATCAGGTACAGATACCATCAGGAGGGCAAACGAAG